GGGTCAAATATGGACTAACCCAACTTTTGGGTTAAAACTTTATTTAAAAAATTTAACCCAACAGCTGGGTTAGTCCATATTTGACCCAACGTTGGGTTGAAATAACCCAGCATTTTTTAGAGTGTAGTTATAGTTATTGTTAGTGTGGACGCTAATATAGTTATCATTATAGTTATTGTTAGTTATTGACCGTTGGTAGAGACGTTGATATAGTTATTGTTATAGTTATCAATGCACTTTAACGCCTTCAGTTCTCTAAAGTGCACTAATGTTACATTTGCTGTACCTGAACATGTGTGACAGAGTTGACTGATGTCCAGATGTTGAGTCTGCTTGCTGATGGGATTGTTGAGCACACAGCTGTAGCTGTTTTTATCCTGATATTCCACCTCCAGAGGTAGAGAGAGACTGATGCTGAGATCAGACACACTGATGCTGGACAATAAACTGTTTCCTTTGTACCAGGAGAGAGTCACGACTCACATTCACCACTGAACACACCAGTGAACAATGTGATGATGATGAACAGTTTGGAGAGTTACTGCTGATGACAGGAACCGGCAGGTAAGCGACATTTATTTCCAAAGTATCTGTATAAACAGACATTTCAGATTTATTAAAATGTGTCCTTTTCAAAATCTTTAAACTAAACTAAAATACAAAAGTAATCTGTAACTCACCACTGACAGTAACATTGAATCTCTTGTATGAGGTTCTTCCGCTGGTGATGACTGTTAGTTCATAAAGTCCAGAGTGTTCAGTTCTGATGTTTCTGATGGTCAGAGATCCGGTCTTTTGTTCCAGTCTGAAACGTCCTTTACTATCATACATATAGACGATCTGCTTATGGATTTCAGCAATTAGATTGTCTTTTGATCCAAATGTCCACAGTATCACATCATCTCTCTGTATTTCAGTAACATCAGTGTGTAAAGTGACAGAATCTCCCCTCATCACTGATATGGACTGGATTTCATCAGTATCGGCAGCACCAAACACACCTGAAAATCATTTAAAGCACTTTCTCAAGTACATATGATAAAGATTATGCACTTTTGACAGTTAAGTATACGCTGTAAAAATGTGTGAAGACCCGTTCACACCAAGAACGGTAAGTGTTCACACCTATGCACTTTCTGCTGCTTTAAATGCTTGAGCTCTTAAGCAGGTTGGATTCTGATTGGCTGTCAATGTTTGTAAAAAGTTTGTCAGCTGAAAGAAAAAGTTCTGAAAGTAATTCAAATGATATGGTTCCTATGTGTGTAGTTTTAGCATGAACTCTATTCTTTTAAATTTAGAATGATTTTAGGTTTTAAAGGTTAAACGATTTTATAGTCATCGTCCTTGGTGTGAACGGGCCTTAAAACTGACCGATTGTTAACCGTTTCATTAAATACAAAATCATCTGATAAAACGTCCAATTAACTATATATTTTCAGTGACTCACCTGAAAAGATGAAGAAGATAAGCGTATACAGAAGAAAGAAAATCATCCTGACTGACGAGTGGTTACCAGATTACTTAAGTTGCACTTTCAGTCTGACTCTCAAGTCAGTTTAGCAGTCTGTTCTTCTCATGAAGTTCCTTTGCGGATGTAAGAAATTACACCTCACCCACACACTGTTCTTCAAACATACAGTGTACCAAGCAGAATAAACCACAGGCATGAGCTTATAGGCCCTCGGTTTACTGCCCTCATTAACAACTCAGACTCAGCGTTTTAACACATTTGTATCTATTCAGGGGTGCGTTTCCTAAAAGCATTGTTAGCTAACTATGGTCGTTAGTTCCATTGAACTCTATTGGTAACGACAGAACTTGCGACCATAGTTGCTTTTGGGAAACGCACCCCTGGTCAGTGTAATACTGCAGGAAACCCATTCCTGTCGTGTCGTCTTTATGTAGGCTACAACAATCCAGAGAGATATTGCTGGAAGTAACAATAACTTGTGAAAGTTTGGTTACCCAGTCAGTAATGCATGAACTCATGAGCTCTCTTTAAACGATTCAGTAAAAGATTCGATTCAAATGAGTCAAACCATACATAAAAATGTATATCTGTCGGCCAATTTAAACCAGCATGCCGTTTTAACCTGTAAATTGTACACACCTAGTACATAAGCAAGTTAATGAATTAAAGTTTTTTTTTAACTCTGTTTGGGTAAACACTGCATATTTAGTGATTTAAAAAAGACTTACAAACATTAAAAATACTTTTCTAGTACTTACCACTCTGGATGAGTGATAAAAACTTTTTAAAATTTCTCAATTTTACTTGATTACATCAGTTTTCACTCTGATGTTCTCGTTACGAGTCTGAATGTATAAAGACAGTGACATCTACTGTGAGAATAAGTTACTGACTGTAGATAGATTTCAAGTACTCTGATGGGTTTGTTTTTACAAAGACCAAGAGTAAAACTAACAATACATCATTTATTTTTAAAAAATTACATGCGCACACACACAAAGAAAAAACAAACAGTATCAGTTTTCAGTGTGGTTCAAAATCATAAAAATGTTTTTATATATATATATATATATATGCATGTGTGTGTGTATATGCATGTATGTATATGTGTGTATATATATATATATATATATAATATTTAAAAATGTTAAATATATAATATTTATATACATCTCTCGATAAGAAATGTTATTGTTTATCATGTATTTTCTAAACAAGCCAGAATAAAGAAGAACAGCAATTATGAAAGACTAAAAAATATTTAACAAATTATTATATATTTTACAAATTATTTTATTACACATTGGCATACTTTGAATATTTTATCAAAGTGGCATTTACAGACAACCTATCACAATTTTCTTGTACATTTTCTTGTACTTTTGTATGATTTTTTCCTTTTCCCCCTTATTAAATATTTTTAGCTATATATTTAATAAAATGTTCTTTGGCTCCTAGATGTTAGTATAAAGTTCACACAAAACGAGAGGTTTGTTGAAACTGGCTGCAGACCTCAAACCAGATGAACAGAAATGTAACCAGAGAAGTTGTACCAGATTTAGAGTTAAACCATAATATGTTTTGTGACTATAAAATATGGTTTATGAAGTGACCACATCAGTGCTGTGTTTTTATGTCTCTTCAGCTGCTCTTGTCTTCAGAGGTTTTCCCTTTGGGAACCCGGAAACGTGCCTTCTTGGAGTAAAGCAGATTCCTGCTGAACAGCAGTGGGATGTTTCCCAAATACAGGAAGAGCGCAAGAGTCATGCCTGGAAAAATACACAATTTACAACACCAAAACATCTCAGGAATGCCAAAAAAGCATTTTTGGACCGATACGTTTGAACTGTGTCATTCTTATTTTAATACGTTCCTTGGTATTAAAGAATATTTCAGATATCTACATGGACTCACCAATCAGAGGGCCGAGCCAGTAGACGAGAGAATACGCTAGGAAAGTGTGTCCCGGACAGGTGAATGTCATGGCATAAGCCAGGGATGGATTCACATATCCAGACGTGTAGTTATTTCCTGGTGTGATGGAGACATTAGTGAGGATGAAGGAGTTCAAATGCTTCACATCAACGTTTCTAATAAACAGTCAAAGAGGTTCTCCTGAGTAACAAACAGCTCTTAAAGACACTGGCATTTGAAAAAGTGCAATTGATTTTCCTAATTAAACTTTATTTCCTTAAAAAGCTTTATTTGTATACAGTTTAAATCTACAATCCTTGTTTAAAGGTGCAATAGGTGATTGTCTTCAGAAATATTTTTTGTTATGAGCCCAGCGGTTCCCAATTCCAGTCCTCGCGCCCCCAGCTCTGCATATTTTGCATGTCTCGCTTGGTTAACACACCCGATTCAGATAACCAGCTCGTTAGAAGTGAGCTACGTGCATGAACTGTAGATCTCCTACTGCACCTTTAATGCATGCATTTTAAATCTACAATCTTTAATACACATCTAAAATTCACAATTTTAAATTTAATATATGCATTATATATGTACAAGTTTTAATTTGATACATTTTAAATGCACAATCCTAATTTAATATATGCATTTGAAATGTATGAGCTTTATTTAATATTTAAAAATCTAAAATTTTTAAATGTATGCATTTTAAATGCAAAATCCATACTTAATATATGCATTTTAATCTATCAATCTATTTATTTTGGATTTTAAATATACAATGTTTATTTAATATATGAATTTCAAATCTACAATACCTTTTTAATATTAACATTTTTAATACAATAATTCTTATTTAATAAGAATTTTAAATGTTCAATCTTTATTTAAAATATTCATTTGAAATCTACAATTTTAGTATATGCATTTACATGTTCAAGTTTTAATATATGCATTTTAAATATACAATGTTTAATTTAATATATACATTATGAATCTACAATGTTCAAAATTCTCAATTTGAATGAACAATATTTAACATGTTTACAGTTTAAATTTTCATGTTTGATTTAGTATATGCATTTTAATTCTATAATCATTATTGAATATAGGGGTGGGCGATATGGCAAAAATATCATATCACAAAATTTTTATTTTTTATTTTTTACACTAGTTAGTGTTCGTTTTAAAACGCATAGCTCAGACAGAATCATGATTTCTATTTATTTTCCACCCCAATTGAATATATGCATTTTAAATGCCACATCTTTATTTAATATATGCATTTTAAATATTTAATCATTATTTAACATACACATTCTACATCTATATTTTATTTAATATTTGTATTTTAATATATTTTATTTTAATGCACAGTCCTTAATATATGCATTTTAAATATTTAATCATTATTTAACATACACATTCTACATCTATATTTTATTTAACATGTATATTTGTAAATGTAATTTATGCATTTGAGATGTAGCTTTTAATTTAATACATGCATTTTAAGTCTACAATCATTATGTAATATTTACGTATTAATGCACAATCCTTAATATATGCATTTTAAATATATAATCCTTATTTAGAATTTGACACAATCATCATTTACTATATGCATTAGAAATGTAAAAAAAATTTTATTTAATATATGCATTTTAGATGTCAATTTTAAAAGTAATCACCAGCATAGGCGATGAATGTCAGCAGCACGGCGAATATGGGAATCTGCAGCAGCTGCGACCTGTTCTTCATGACGAGGTAAACCAGGTGAAAGGTCAGGGCTCCGAGGGCTTCGGCGAAGACTCCCTGCAGCGGCGGGACCTGCAGCGACGTGCTGCACTCGGACATCATCAGGTTCTTGATCATGTGCATGTCGGTCAGCTCCATCTGCCAGTACTTCCCGGCGACCAGAAGCGCGGCGTATGCGCCAAATAACTGCGCCGCCACGCTGAGCACGACCGACACGGCGCCCACGTCCTTCTGCAGGAGCCCCATCAGCGTCACCGACGGGTTCCCGCTCACGCCCTGCATGACGACGCCATGGACAGCGAGGGATATGAAGAGCATAGTGACGGCGACGTCGGGCCCAAGCGCGCCGGCCCACTGGCCGACCTCCGCGATGGTGTCCACCTCCAATCTGCAGGCAGCGAGCGCGAAAGCGGCGATGAACTCCGTCAGGAGTGTCCAGCGAGCGAACAACACCCGCCCAACCACACTCATGCCGACTATGGCTAAAAAGTAGCCCAGCGAAGCATTAAGGCCTGACATGCTGCTGTTCAGACGGCTGTGCTGGACAGAAAGAAAGATCTGAGCTCAGCAGCAGTGTATTTACTCACAGCATGTGATAACGTGGCACACGGACACGCCGTGCTCTTATCAAAGGGGTTTTTAGACACACACTTTAGGTCAAAAAAACACACTGACCTATTCAAGGCCACCTTTGGAAAAGTGGTTGTTTGCTTTGACTCCCTCTAGTGGGCTAGGCTGACTCTCATTGTTTAAACTAGGCTATTGTTGCTCAATCATCTTTGTACAAATATATTCAGTATATGCATTTTAAATGCACACTCCTTAGTTAATACATTATATGTATTTTTAATCTGCATTTCTTTATTATAAGCACTTTAAATCTACAATTATTAATATATGCATTTGAAATCTACAATCCTTATTTAATATATGCATATAAAATACATTTTAATTTAATATATGCATTTAAAATGCACAATCCTTATTCAATATATGCATGTTAAATCTACACATTTTATTTATTATATGCATTTTAAATCTACATTTTTATTTAATATATGTATTTTTAATCTACATTTCTTTTTATTATATGCATGTTAAATTGCCTTTAAAGTTGTCCAAATGAAGACATTTTTTTACTATATGCATTTAATATATGCATTTGAAATGTATGGTTTTAAATGTAATTTATGCATTTTAGGGTATGAATTATCTCAGCATCTACAGCATCAACCCGAGCGAACAAAAAAACACATAAATGTAAGCATTATTGTCATTAATAAAGATTTTAATGAAAAGTAATCATTTGTTTTATGTTACATTCAACCGTGTGTTCATATTTACGGTCATGTTATTCAAAGAAATGTTTGCAAAAAATCGCTAAAGTTTGCTAACATCATATCATTACAGACTGCACGATAGTGCCACAACATATTTTCATGTCCGATCAGGGCGATAACCACCATAGACATATAATTAGAAATCGCTTAACTTTTTTCTCAGATATTGCCAATTCGAGAGAGAGAGATGAAAGTTGCGTGTATGCACGTCTGTGCGTTTTACTTCAAAAACAGCGATTATATCCTCTCGTTGCTGGAAAATATATTGTAGCGAGTATTTAAACTGTTATTAATAAAAGTCGTGGGGCAGCGTTGACAAGTTTCTTTGCTGCTGGATGTGTGAGCTGCGCGATCTCCGATATGTGTGTGTGTGTGTGTCAGTAAGCAGCACACTAATACAGAATGGTATTTAAAGGCTCTAATGCACACCAGTATAGGTGTGTGTATTGTAGGAGCTAGACGACGTATGATGACGTGTGACGGTGTAGTAGTGGTGTCCCAATTCTTAGGGGAATATTTTCACCCCTACCTTTTTGACACTCTGTTTCAAGGGACAAGGGGAAGGGGTAGGCCGAGGGGTAGGTGAAGGGGTATAAAATAGAATTGGGATTGGGCCTAAATCTACAATGTTTAAAGTGGCTGTTTGCTTTGGCTCCCTCTAGTGGGTGAGGTTGAATCTCATTGTTTAAACTGATCTATTGTTCCTCAGTCATTTTTGTACAAACTGTCTTTTGGGATTGTAGCAGATGTTAACACAAACATATCAAGTACAGAACAGATATTCAAAATCAAGGACAGAACTGAAATGCAAACCAGTTTGCTGAGATTTACAGATGCGCTCCTGCAGGAACATGAGGGGGTTTTGCACACTCACTCTTCAGGCCTCGTTGGCGCAGTAGGCAGCGCGTCAGTCTCATAATCTGAAGGTCGTGAGTTCGAGCCTCACACGGGGCAAACGTTTTGGTTTTGCTGGAGATTTGAAAATCATTGATGTTGTTTAATCTGTGGAAAGATAGTTTAGTGATATTCACACTATTTACAGTTAGCATTGTTTTATATACGGTCTATTAGAAATGCTGCCATCTGGTGGGCATTTTGCCAATGTCATCATCATTAACTGCAACCATTAAAAATATTTTGTTACTTAAAATAAGTGTTAGCTGAAATTAAATTATATTATATTATACTTATTTTATTCAAGTACTAGAATAGATAAAAATACAAAATTAATAACGTTACATATTTTAAAAGGGCAAAAACCAATAAAATTGACAAAATAACCTGTGAAATTAAAAAGAAAATGGAACATAAAAATAAAATAATTCAAAACATCAATTAAAACTATAACATTGAGTAGACATCAAGAAAAAACTACAAAAATGACCAACTCAAAATATCAAATCTTTAAAATTAAATTGAAAACACAGAAGCTAAGCTTTACTTCAAAATAGTAGGGCTGTGAATCTTTGGGTAGACAGCGAATCAATTCGATTCACGATTCATAGGAACAATAAAATTGACAAAATAACCTGTGAAATTAAAAAGAAAATGGAACATAAAAATAAAATAATTCAAAACATCAATTAAAACTATAACACTGAGTAGACATCAAGAAAAAACTACAAAAATGACCAACTCAAAATATCAAATCTTTAAAATTAAATTGAAAACACAGAAGCTAAGCTTTACTTCAAAATAGTAGGGCTGTGAATCTTTGGGTAGACAGCGAATCAATTCGATTCACGATTCATAGGTTTTCGATTCGATTCAAGAACTATTTTTGCAAATTCAGAACGATTCGATTCTGAATTTGATTAACGATTTGATTCTGCATTCTTTAAGTGTGCTAGTTTAATGATGCTATGGCATGATTTGGCATATGCAGAAATTTATGTAAGCCCAGATTTTTTAAAAAAAGCTTTAAAAGTATTATGTATAACATTTTGTCACGCCAGGGCAGCCATAATTTCAGAAGTGATAGAAATGTCAAATACAATAATTTTATGTATGTATGCATCATTATTTTTTATAAGAATTATTTTCTTATCTCTTACTTTGAATTTGCTATAAGAAATCAAATACACTGCTGGACAATAATCAATCATTTGTAATCTATAATTTTTTCCTAATGGCAATTTTATGATTATTTTATATACTACAAAAAAAATTTCAATTTTCTGCACAGAATTTGGTAAAAAATATATACTTTATAGTTTCTGTACTGTAATAAATTATATGTCAATTAGCACTGCATCATTCATTTAAATCGGATGTATGGACTTACTTCAGATTTGTAAACAAGGAGGGGATGTAAGTAGGGATGCATTGAAAATATAGGATACATATAATAATAATATATATATCGTGCCCCGCCCCGCAGTGTTCAGCGCGCATGTTTCACTCTCCTCGTCACTGCGCGGTTTGACGCTCCTCTATGCTCTGCTCATATGCTCTGATAGTAATAGCTTTGTAGGACTATACATTATTTGGATAATTAGTCAAAAAAAAACAAAAAAAAAACTTATACCTGATTCTGTTACATAGAAGTAAAAATAATATATTGATATTTAATATTAAGGTAACACTTTTCAATAAGGTTCCATTAGTTAATGTTAGTTAATGTATTAACTATCATGAACGAACAAGACCGGATGCCTGTGCGGCTCAAGCCAGTTGGACATAGTGGTGTATTAGAGGTAAAAAATGATATAAATACTGTTCGGTTTCTGGCACAACCCGATCGTTTCGTGTCTTAGGACATCAATGTGTCGTCACGAGCCGCAGGGTTTAATTTGGATTTGTCTGTGCATGTTTTTTTTACTCTCATTATACGACTGATAGACTGCAACGGCTGGAGTTAAAAATCATCATATGTGTTCTACTGAAGAAACAAAGTCACCTACATCTTGGATGCCCTGGGGGTAAGCAGATAAACATCACATTTTCATTTTTGGGTGAACTATCCCTTTAATTCAGAGTGCATTAACTGTTAACAAGCACAACTGTTGATTTTAATAATGCATTAGTAAATGTTGAAATTAACATGAACTAAGATTAGTAAATGCTGAAGAACTATTGTTCATTCTTAGTTCATTGTCTAAAGTAGTTAACTAATGTTAACTAATGAACCTTATTGTAAAGTGTTACCAATATTAATATAAATTCTGTCCAGTGTTATTGTGTTACTTTCAGTAAAAGTGTGGTTATTTTATTGGCTTGTTTTTTTTATTTATTTAGTATCATTAAAATTGAGTTAAATTTAAAAAGTCTTACAAAATTACTTTATATTATTTAATCAAATAATAAATAATCATTATAAAGCAGTTTCGGTTTTCGGCCAAGTGCATCCAGAATCGCAAAATCGCAATAATATTGTATCGTGACACAAGTATCTTGATAATATCGTATCGTGAGGCCTCTGGTGATTCCCACCCCTATTAACTAACTATAAACAGCACTTCTACATCAATTATTAATCTTGTAAGTTTCAAGATTTACTAATATATTTTTAAATTCACAAGTTCTATTTTAACATTAGCAAATGCAATATGAACAAACATAAAATAATTGTTTTTGTTTTTTAAGATTAACAAAGACTCCATTAACTAATGCAACAAAAAATAGAGACCTGATTGTAAACTATATTTTTATCAACCAACATAAGACATATTTTTGAATTCTGTAAAAAAAATATTGCTCATAGTTCATGTTATTCACATTATATTCACGTTAGCAAATACATTATGTAATGTTAACAATCAAGACCTTGTAAAGTGTTACAGAATTTTAACTAAACTATGCCTTTAATCAGCAAAATCACACATGAGCTGTAAGGTTGTGACGATGAGGAACTTTTCCCACAGGTTAATCGACGTGTGACAACACCGATAATACCGGTATCACCGCGGGGGCATTCCCTCTTTTCCTCGCTTTCCTTCGCTTTTAAATAGCTTGTAAAAAGCGATGAGCGCATTTTACTTTCACTTTGCGCTTTTGCATCTTGTTTCGAAATTAAATCATCCGCGATCGTCTTGTGTGTCTCACCTCCCTCTTCTTGTCAGTCAGCTCGTCTCCTCACTGGATAAATGATATTAGCACCACGCTCTAACCAACACAGTAGAGCTGTTTTAACTACTGATTCACAAGCTGCTTTGAAAACATTTGTAGATATTTCACTTCAAAGTCAGTGTAAAATCAAAGAGACGCAAAATCCTACAAAAACAAGTCTAGTTTAGAAGAGTAGCGTCTTTTCGTAAGTAAAAC